AAACAGGGTTTTAGAGGGGCAGGGGGAGGGGGGATTGGTTAGTTCGGTGATGGGTATTAAGGAGGGCACGTACTGCATGGAGCACTGGGTGTTATATGAAAACAATGGATCGTGGATCACCACATCAAAAACTAATGATGTATGGTGACTAATATAATAAAATTTAAAAAAAAATTAAAAATTTAAAAGAAATTAAAAAAAAAAATCCAGTTAGCTCATCAAACATGGGTTTTCTCCCTGGGTATCAAGCCTGTTTAGGGCACTGGGGACCCAAAGGTGGAAATGATATAGCTCCTGCCTTCAAGAGGGCTGACTGGTGGGAGAGAGACCCTGAGCTGATAATGCAGAGGCCAAGGTGAAAAGTGCTACAGATGAGGCTCTAACCTGGTTCCAGGGAGGCCAGTGCAAAGAAAAGGGTATTTGCATTGGGTTTTGAAGGATGAACAGGAGTTTGTCAGGAGAAGAAAACAGAATGGAACTGGCACAAAGACAAAGGCCAGTTGTAACATATCCAGAATCAGGTGGCTGGGAAGGGGAGGGATGGTACCAAGGAGCAGGGGCTATGCGTCTAGGGAAGAGGAGAAGGGGTACTGTGGGTACTGTCTGCAGATCCCAGGGAGCTGGGCTCCTGTGAGGGGGTGGCCTTGGGGTGCTAGGTGCATTTGGAGGGTTGGGGGTGCCCAGCAGACACCCCCTCTCTGATCTCTTCTACGTTGGCATCCACCTAAGATTTCTCCCGAGGAAAGGATGCTGTGGCAAGAGCCAGCTGGGAAAGCCAGGCAGAGGGGCCTGGTGGCCAGGTGTGTGGGCCCTAGGTGCGGATGGTCCGGCTGGTCACTGTGGCTCCTCCTGACCCTGTGTGGCCGAGGGCAGCCTCAGCTTCCCCCCACCTCATGAAGTAGGATAACACAGGAACTGCGTCCTGAGGCTGGTATGGAGACCGAATGAGCAATTGTGATGCCACTGGCCCCGTCCTGAGCACTTTACCGGGATGAATACTCATCATCCTCTACCACCCAGTGAGGAACATTTTGCAGGAGAGGAAACGGAGGCACAGAGAGTTTACATAACTTGCCCAAGGCCAGGCAGTCTGATGACAGAGTCTGGGCTCGCAGCTGCTAGACTTTTATCTGTGTGATTTTGGACAAGTTACATAACCTCTCTGGGCCTTAGTTTCCTCATCTGTAAGATGGGAATGATAGTGATGCCTCCGTCGCGGGGTCACTCTGAGGATTAAGAGCATCCCTGCGTGCCAAGTACGTGACCTGGGTTCCTGGCTTTGGTAAGCGCATGGTGTGCGTTTGCTGGTATATTGTTGGGATGGGCGGAGCGGGGTCTGCGCAGCTCGGTTAGCACAGGGCCAGGGATGTGCTAAGGCCTCTGCGAACGTTAGAGAATACTGTTGACGCTACTGTTATCAGTCTCCACCTGAGATTGAGCGTTCCTTTGGGGCTTCTGGATCTGACGGCTCTGCTGCCCTCTCCCCCTCCCGGCTACAGGCCAACGAGAACAGCCTGCTGAGTGCGCAGCTCAAAGGTTTCCCTCTGTTCCTGCACTCAAACCTGGGCCTGAAGGACTGCAGCATCAACCCCAAGTCCCCGCTGCTCTATGTGACACGGCCCAGCGAGGTGGAGAAGGGCGTGCTACCCGGCGAGGACTGGACGGTGTTCCAGTCAAACCACTCCACCTACGAGCCGGTGCTGCTGGCCAAGACACGCTCCTCCGAGTCCATCCCGCACCTGGGTGCGGACGCCGGCCTGCACGCCGCACTGCACGCCACCGTGGTCCAGGACCTGGGCCTTCACGACGGCATCCAGCGCGTGCTGTTCGGCAACAACCTCAACTTCTGGCTGCACAAGCTCGTCTTCGTCGACGCTGTGGCCTTCCTCACGGGCAAGCGCCTCTCGCTGCCTCTGGACCGCTACATCCTGGTGGACATCGATGACATCTTTGTGGGCAAGGAGGGCACACGCATGAAGGTGGAGGACGTGAAGGTATGGCCAGGGGCGGGGGGCGGTGCCGGACAGGTTGGGCGATGGGTGCCCCTTCATGACTTCACTGTCTGCCTCTCCCCGGTGCTGTGCATGTCCCCCTTCCTTGGCCAGGTGGCTTTAATGATTGTTTTACTAGACAAAAGTGTTGCTGGAGATTATATTGAAGCATTGGATATAGAAGAATTTTGGCGTGTGGAACTCAGAAATATACCTGTGGAGGGAGAGACTCCCATCATTGAAGCCCAGGGATGGGAGCTATGCAGGGTTACATATCTGCCTTTTAACCCAGACGTGATTTTACACTCTCAGAAATGTTTATGTCAGTACCAGAGCTCCCGCAAAACCTCTAAAGCAAGAATTAGAGCTTGAATCATACACAGGCATATTTTAACTGAGGTCTGTATAAATAGTGGAATGCATGTGTTTATTTCAAAAAGTGTTTACCAAACTAAACTGTATATAAAAGCATTTTGCAGACCATGAAATTTTACACACATGCATCACTACTAAAGAGACCATTAAGCAAACTTTAAAATGTGCTTTTCATCTAGTCTCTATTTTACTCAAAGTTCTTTGCAAAGAAAACGACATCACTAGTGTAAGTGGGGGAAATCAGTACTGGTTGCCATAAATAGAGGGCAGGCACAACAGTGGATCCAAGGAAAACAAAATCAGGGGATTAAATTCTACAGAGATTGTGCTGCCTGATGACCCCATCCTCCCTTAGGAGATTAGCAAGCGTTAGAACATATTAGCACCAAATCCAGACTTCGCTTTGATGTTCGGATGGCAAAAGAGACTTCTAAGAGGAGTGCTTTCCTCCCAAGTGAGTCCGGTTGTGGGCGCTGTGTTCCCTGTCCTCCTGAAGTCACTGTTGGGGTTGGCCCTGGGGCCTGGGAGGGAGGCCATGGGGCAGGAGTGAACACTCTACTCTTCCTTACACCGCCAGACGAGAAGAGCACAGCAGATGGTGTTGGGGGGCAGGCACTGTGTGGGGAGTCAAGACCCATTTGACCCTAAATTGACTGGAACTCGTGGGCAAGTCCCTTCCCATGTCTGAGCCTCAGTGGTGAACTGACAAGAGGGGCGGATGGGAAGTTTTCAGGTGCCCCCAGCCCCCGGGGGGTGGTTTACAGAGGGGCCTGTGCAGATGGGCCAGGCTCTGAGCCCTCCCAGCTCCCATCTCGTGGGGCGGGGCTGTGTTACTTTGATCTGCTTTACACATTGTGTTTGCTCCTGAGATTTCACCTCCTCAAGGGCTGTCCTGTTGAAAGCAAGTGTTAAGATGATTCCTGTTGAGGCTTTCCAGCTCTGAGGCTTCATGCGATGCCATAACCTACCTCTGACAAAGCAGATCGCTCTGTTTCCTACTGAGGGCGCTCTTCCGCTCTCTCCTGCTGACCTTAGTGTTTGCTGCCTGTCCAGGTGAGTCCTTGAGACTGGTTCAGGGTTGATCCCACAGGGAGACCAGGCTACCAGGCTCACTGTGTCCCCTCATGAGCCCTGAGGTTGCCCTGCTTGCTTCTTATTTTCCCCACTTTCACAGCGAGAGGGGTGAGAGCAGTTCGGAGCTGTTTCTGTCGAAGAGTACTAATAGCGACGCCCTCTCCCGCGTGCTCAGCCCCGTGCACACTGCCGAGCGTTTCGCCAGCCAGGGTCCCACTTGCCTTAAACATCCTTGTGAGTCTGAAGGGGCAGAGGTTTTCTCCCTCCCCGTCCCTTCATCCCAAGCACAGGCTACAACTAAGCCTTTCTGAGACACGAATGTCACCACATTAACTTGGACAGTACCAACTGTACGGTGCAGCTTAAATCACATGGACAGCAGCTGCTTATTCAGGGCGTGGTAAATCCAGCCTCTGCGCTTAGCCCTTTGTGGGTATGGCCTCAGGGGATCCTCACAGCAGCCCCATGAGGCGGGTATCATCCAATTTCACAGAGGAGGCCACTGAGGCTCAGAGAGGTGACGTTACTTGCCCAAGGCCACACAGCTAGAGCAAGCCTGTCTGTCAGGTAGTGCCTGGCCTTGGTGAGATGCTGGTGGTGGCCCCAGGAGGGCCAGGACTGTCTGTCTGCAAAGTGGTCTGACAGCAGGCTCCTACAGGTGTCTTAGCAGCCTTGTGTGCTGTGTGTGGGTGGTGTGTGGGGCGGGAGGATCTTTTGGAATCCTGACTCCAGAGTACAAGCGTGTGTTTTGTTCTGCAAGCGTTAGCCTCCCTTCGTTGGCTTGCCCAGCATGGGGTATGCCGTGCACGGGGACATCGCATGGCCGGGGACGCAGTACGTCTTTGGAAAAGTCATGATCCTGTGATTTCGGCCTTGCGCTCAGCGGGAGAGACCCTCCACATTTGACAGCCGAAGATCCGAGGCTCATAGTGGCAGTGACCACGGACACAGCCATGCCACCATTTTATATTACTTACCAAAATGTCGGGCACTTTGACATGCGGGGTCTCATTCAATCATCCCAGGAGAAATTATTATCTCCATCTCACATGTGGGGAAACTGAGGCCTAGGGCAGTCACAAAGCTTTCTCAAGGGCACATAGCAGAGCCGGGCTGGTGTCAGGTCTTCTCTGGCCAGAGGCCCAGGGCAGGTGGCAGCTCAGGGCTGGCTTCATGGGTGTGGGACCCTGCGCTCAGAGGGGGCCTGTACAAGATTAGTGCTCTGCCATGACCTTCTTGATATTTTAAGTAATTTTGGAGCAAGGGTCCCACATTCTCATTTTTTGCTGGGCCCTACAAGCTTTGCAGCTGGTCCTGCAACAGTAGGATCTTTCTGGGCCCTCAGTGGGAAGAACAGGGAGTTCCCAGCTTCCGCCTCACCCACTTCTTCCTCCTCTGCCTATCCTAGGCCCTGTTTGATACGCAAAATGAACTACGCACACACATCCCAAACTTCACCTTCAACCTGGGCTACTCAGGGAAATTCTTCCACACAGGTAAGTGGGCCTGGCTCTGCCCCCACGAGCAACTTCCAGGGGCCCTCGGCATCTGGATCCGTGGAGTGCTCTGCCACAAGGGCAGCAGGTGGGCTGATGGGCCCACATTAGGGCCACATTTGACCCTGGTGGCCTCCCCGCTGATCCAGCAGCCCACAGAGCAGTCAGCCCCAGGCAGAGGGCATTTGGGGGCAGCAATAAGACAACAACATCCCTCACTCATCCCTCCCTGTCCTTCAGGCTGTGCTGCCTTTGGGGACATCTTCTCCCTCTGTCTCCCCCTCTCCTCTGTCTTTTAAAATTATTTGTCTTATGTCTGCTTAAAAAAGTAATTGGTTGAATCTTAAGAACATCATAGAAATATATAGCATAGAAAGTGAGAATGCCCTCCAATTGTTTCTGCCCCGGAGTTGGCCATTGCCATTTCATTTTCAAGTCTTAAGGGTGGAGGTTGAGGGTGTAGGTTGCATGGTTCATGCCTTCCCTCCTCTTTTGGGCTCTCCCAAGTTCCTCAAATGCTGCCCTTCTGGGTCAAGCAAGAGGGAAAGACCCCTGAGCCATCATCTGTAGTCAAGGTTCCCTGTAGCTGCCTTCTGCTTGGGTTACGGTATGGAGAGCCTCTCTTGAATTCTAGGAAAAACCCTAATACTCTGCAGCTCTGGGGGGAAGGTCTGCAGCATGGTCCCAAGGCCAATTAGGAGCAATACTGGGTTGTCTGAGTGCATTTTTCATATTTTCGGCCCTCAGCATTTCAGGGGTAGTTTGAGTCATAGCATGAGACAGGATTAGACATCCTGTTTATATACTAAGAGCTTCTCGGATCATTAAGTAAAAGACAAATGACAAATGGTCCAACACACAAACAGGAAACAGATCAGAGCAGGCCTATCAGAGCTGGGAGAAACCCTTGGGACCGTGGATTGCACACATGGGGCCCAAGGGCCCAGAGAGGAGAAGGACTTGGCCAAAGTCACTGCTTGAGTGAAGGCCCCACTCGGGACTAGAAGGCAGGGCCCTGGACCGGGGCACACTGTCTGCTCCCACCCGGTGGCTCTGGTAACTCTCTGAGCAGCTCCTGGGTGGGCTATGGCTGCGCGCTCCCGCCCCCGGGCACCAGCCCCCATTGGAGAGCGTCACGGTGGCTGGGCTGAGCGGGCCTGCACTCTGGCTGCAGGTACTGATGCTGAGGACGCTGGGGATGATCTGCTGCTGTCGTACGTGAAGGAGTTCTGGTGGTTCCCCCACATGTGGAGCCACATGCAGCCCCACCTTTTCCACAACCAGTCGGTGTTGGCCGAGCAGATGGCTCTGAACAAGAAGTTCGCTGTCGTGAGTAAGATTCCCTACAGGGCGGAGCTGGGGGGGCCGGGGGCTGGGGGGTCCGGCCTGCTGGCCTCTCACTGCTGTTTTGCAGTTCCGTCTGACAGCATTTTATTAGTATCTTTATAGCCACTGTCTCTCTGAAGCCTCTCAGAGACCCCAAGAGGTGGTTATCGATATTCTCCCTTTTAGATAAGACACCGAAGCTCAGGGAGCCCACAGCAGCTAGGAGGAGGTCCAGCCAGGACTTAAATCCAGGCCAGTTTATTTCCTGAGCCCAAGCTCTATCTTCAGGTCGGAGTGGGAGGCTCAGGAAAGCTGGAGCTGGTACTTGGGGAAGAGGGGATGAGGCCCAGGTATGGGCTCAGCCTGGGCCCACCAGCCAATCAGAGGCCAAGACAGTCAGGAAGCGCCCCTGTCCCTGCTCCTCACTCCAGGGTGCCGGAGGGCATGAACTCCGTGCTGAGAGTTAAGAGTCCCCCAGCTTGGTCAGTCCCTCACTCCGAGGCTCGCGACTTGGGGCCCATCCCTTTCCCTCCCTGGGCCTCAGCTTTCCCATCTGTACCACGAGGGTTGCATCCTCGTGGTGTGGACCCACTGCCCTGCCATTCCAGCCTGTTGATTTCTCTCTCTCGTTCTACCAAGGGGAAATGAGACCCTGTGGGGAAGGAACCCTGTGCTTACCCCGGCCTGGCCCTCTTCTCCCCAGGAGCACGGCATCCCCACAGACATGGGCTATGCGGTGGCCCCCCACCACTCGGGTGTGTATCCCGTGCACGTGCAGCTGTACGAGGCCTGGAAGCAGGTGTGGAGCATCCGTGTGACCAGCACGGAGGAGTACCCCCACCTGAAGCCGGCCCGCTACCGCCGCGGCTTTATCCACAACGGCATCATGGTGAGTGGGCCCCACAACCTGTGAGGCGGATGTGCACACACTGGGGAAGCGTGGCTTGCGTGCGCGGGCTAGGGGTTGCAGGCCAGGCTCTGCTGCCCCCTCTGGCATCCAGGGCTCTCAGTTCCAGGGAAGGCAGGCTGCCAGTCCGGCCCTTTCCTGAGTTCCTTTTTAGCGTTCGTGATGGGATCAGGGGCTGAACATTTTTTAAAGGGGCCTCTGGTGAGGACTGGGCGGGTGAGGCCTCTGTCTCGTTCATTTGCTTATTGAAACATTTTTAATGAGCTTCTACAGTGTGTCTGCCCCTGTTCTAGGCACTGGGGATAGAGAAGTGTACAGAACCAACGAGGGTCCCTGCCCTTGTAGACCTGACATTCTAGTGGCAGGAGACAGACAGTGTGCTCACAAATGTGTGACATTTGTAACATATGGCCAGATGGTGTGGTGATGGGGCCATGGAGAAGAGTCAAGCAGGGAAGGGAGATTGGGAGTGCCAGAGGAGAGGAGAAGCTATTTTAAATAAGGTGATGAAGAAGGGCCTTCCTAGGAATGAGCCATGCTGCTATATGAGGAAAAGCTTTAAAGGCAGAGAAAGCAAGTGCAAAGGCCCTGTGGTAAGCAGACTTTGTGCTAGGTGTGTTTGAGGACCAACTAGGAGGCCAGTCTGGCTGGAGGGGAGCAAGTGAGGGGGACATGAGGTCAGGGGGTGATGGGCCAGATCATGTAGGGCCACAGAAAGCCATTGATGGACGTTAGCTTTTCTCTGAGATGAGAAGTTTTTGCATGGACTGCTGTTAGGATCAGACTCATTTTTTAAAAAAAGATTTCTCTTGTTCTGGCTGCTGTGAGTTGCAGAGACTGCAGGGGACAAAAGGGAAGGCAGGGAGACCAGTTGGGAGGCCACTTCAGTCTTCCAGATGAGAGAGTGGTGGTTCCATCAGGGTGCAATGTTGGAATATGATCAGATTCTGGACTTACTTAGAAGGTCAAGACAACAGGATCAACTAGTGATTGGAGGTAGGGTGTGGGGGAGAGAGATGAGTCAGGATGACTCCTGGGTTTTTGGCCTAAGCCACTGGAAGGATGAATTGTTGACAGTCCAGATGGGGCATGTGTGGGAAGGCCAGATTTATGCTTTCATCTGTCCATCCATCTGTCCATCCAACCATCCATCTGTCCATCCATCCATCCATCCATCCATCCATCCATCCATCCTTCCCTCCTTTCTCCTTCCCTCCCTCCCTCCACTGGCCTCCTCTATACCAGGCATTCATATTCTGTCTGGGAATGAGGTGGTATCCAGACAAGCAAGTTCCCTGCTCTCTTGGAGTGCAGTTTTATGAAAGGAGACAGAGAATCAACAGTTAAACCAGCACGTGACTGGGAGAACTCCCAGGCAGGTTCTAACGCTGTGAGGGGGTTGCGAGGGTGACTGGGAGGACTGCTTTGCAGAAGGTCAGGGACCTTTGCTGGGCAAACATTCTCCCTTGCCTCTCTCTGTTACTTTGGGGCCTGCTCATTTTGTTACAGGGAATAGCGGTGAAGTTTGTAAAATGGCAAGGGCCCGTGGGCTCACTTGAGGGAATGTTGCAGGCTGCAGAAGGTCACAAGGGGGGAAGACCCCCAAGAATGGGGGCTGTGTAGTCACACAAGAGGCTGCCCTTCTGAGGAGACACCCTGGCCGTTCACCTGAGGGAGGGTCTTCTACCGCCGTCCGTGCCTGGAGATGCCATAGCTCTCCCCTGCCCCATCCCCAGGTCCTCCCGCGGCAGACCTGCGGCCTCTTCACGCACACCATCTTCTACAATGAGTACCCTGGTGGCTCTAGTGAGCTGGACAAGATCATCAATGGGGGCGAGCTCTTCCTCACTGTGCTCCTCAATCCTGTGAGTGCTCATAGCCCTGGGCTGGGGGTGAGGGGCCGCTGCCGGGCAGCCTGTCTGCAGCCAGGGCTGGCTTTCCTGGGCCTGGGGAGGAGGGGGCGGCCGCCGGTATGAGGGCGGGGAGTGGGTCAACCCGCTCTGCCCCCCTGGCTCTGGCCCTGCTCTGCTGTGTGACCTTGGGAAGAGAATCCAAGTTGTCTTTCCTTTTTCCTTTCAGAATCTTGTACTTCACTGCAATGGTGTGAGCATTTTGGTCTGTGTTCTCTTTCCAGTCTTTGTGTGTGTGTGTAAATATATGGATGTTATGTACTAACATACATAGTAAATCATTAATCTATAAGCTATATATGTATATATACATATATTTTGAAATACATATATTTTAAACTATTCATCTGAGCTTTCTGGCCCCCTCTTTCCTTATCTGTAAAATGGCAATAATCATCCATGCTTTAATACCATTAAGTAGATATCCAGTGGTGGTGGTATTCAGCTTTACAGGATAACTGAGCACTCCTTGTCTTCTGTGAACACCCCACCAAGAAAATACAGAAGAACACCCAAATGACTGCGCAGTAGGTCAGCCTCCCATTTCAGGGTTGCAATAATTGGTGGTCAGTCAGACGTGGCTTCACCTGGCTGTGCCTAGGCCAAGTCACACAGCAAGTTTGCTGACAGCCCCAGTGAATCTTGGACTGGTCATAGAGTGACTCTGCAAAGCTGCGGCAAGACGAGAAGAGTCCAAAGTGGGGTGGAGGGTGAGGGCTCAGATGCTGACCGGCCCCGCCCCCCACCTCCCTCCCCTGGAGCAGATCAGCATCTTCATGACGCACCTGTCCAACTATGGGAACGACCGTCTGGGCCTGTACACCTTCAAGCACCTGGCGCGCTTCCTGCACTCCTGGACCAACCTGCGGCTGCAGACGCTGCCCCCCGTGCAGCTGGCCCAGAAGTACTTCCAGATCTTCTCCGAGGAGAAGGACCCGCTCTGGCAGGTGCGTGGGTGGGTGCCGTGGTGCAGACATGGGATGTCCCAGACACACGGCGGACGTGGGCTTGGCCCTCACACCCTCATAGTCCCTCTTGAGTGCAAACCAGCACAGGCACACTCGCTTGTCACACGCACATATATGTACACACTGCCCACGCAGATGTGCATGCGTGCACACTCACACACACCTTCCGAGAAAGCATTACAAGACTGTAAGTGAGCAGAGTGTAGATCAAGTGCAGATCCAAGCAACTGCCTGGCCTGGTTGGACTCTTAGATAGTCCTTTATACCCCTTCTCACACTAGAAGGCTCTGTACCATGGGAGAGGGGACTGATGGAGGTCTTGAAGGGGCAGTTCTTGGGGAAGTCTTCCCCTGGGGGCTGTCAAAATCTGGAAACAGAAGCTAAGCTGGAATGGAAGCAGTCTCATAGTTCAGGCCAGGGGTCCACAAGCCCCGGCTCATGGGCCAAATCTGGCCTGAAGTCTGTTTTTGTAAATAAAGTTTTATTGAAACCCATCCACACTCATTCTTGTATGTACTGTTTAGGGCTGCTTTCATGCTACGACAACAGAGTTGAGTAGTTGTGACAGAGACCAGGTAGTACTCCAGCCTAAAATAGTCACCAAACACTTACCAAAGATTTACTAACCTCTCCAGAGAAAGCTTGCTGACCCCTGGTTCCGACACAGCTCATCCAGTTAATTCAACAAGTGCTCGTGAGCTGCTGTTGTGTGCCAAGCCCTGGGCTGAGTGTTTTGCTAGGACTAACTGGAAGTGGTCGTTGCCTGCTAGCAGCTCGGTGTCCTGAGGTGGGGATGTGACAAGGACACACATAGTTACTCTACCTGGCAGTGCTGTAAGAGTCACATATCCATGTGCAATGAGAGTCTGTTCATTGGGTTTTGGGCCACCCCCTAATACTCCTTCCATTGTTGTTTTAGGACCCGTGTGAGGACAAACGCCACAAAGACATCTGGTCCAAGGAGAAGACGTGTGACCGCTTCCCAAAGCTCCTCATCATTGGCCCCCAGAAAACAGGCAGGTCTCTCTGCTCTTGGCAAGCATCCCCCACTGCCACGGAAATCCGTGTCTCAGCCACGGAATTCTGGGGACCACCTGGAGTGCCCTGGCTCCACTCCCCAATAATCTGCCCCCCCTCTTTCCCAGGAAGTGAGAGTGAAGTTGGGATGAACATGAACTGCCTATCAGTATGGAAGTGGGGAGGGGGTAGAGGGTGGGTGTAGAATTTTCCTATCTGTCCTGAACCACACCTCAGGGAGCTCTGTTTCTGGGAACCTCTGAGTCTAAGGCAGAGAAGTCCAGATCAGCTGTTCTGCACATTTAAGCAGTGCCAGGTAAAACTGGTTCAGTGCAAAGGGGACTGCAATCAGTTAGTCGTGTTTGCCAGGGGTACAAGAGGGAGGAGCGGTGATACGCTTGCTAAGTATTTGCCACCCACACACACTGTGAACCAGGAACGGGTATGCCCATTTTACAGATAAAATACTTGAGGCTCAGAGAAGTGAAGTGACCCCCCCCTGACACATTCAGTTAGGAAGTGACAGGTCTAGGTCTTGAACCCTTATCTCTCTGACCCCCAAAGCTTATATTATACTCTTCAGGAAACTAAACTCTATAGTCTCCTTCTCTTCTAGGACATCTCATTATAGCATACAAACCATAGACTCACACACAGGAAAGGAATGAACTCTCTAAAGGAGGGGGTAGGTCCTGTACTGTCAAGTAGGACAGAGTATGAGTGAGGGAAGGGTGCCCAGAAGGAGAAGGCATTTGAGCCAAATCTCTTAGCCCTTCACGAATTTCACATCAATAGACTGCAGGGTCTGGAGCTCCCTTTTCTTTGAGCTCCTCCCACGTGTCAGAGGACAGAGGCCCAGACCTGGAAACCATCTAGTTCTGGGATTATGAGAAGACACCAATGAACTGGGCATGGCTGCTGGAGTACAGTACATGGGTGGGAAGGATTCTGAGGCCGAGTTCTTGTTTAGTATTTAGGATGCTATGATAGATTAGTGATGTCTACAGTGGATGCAGGAGTTGGGGTGCCCCCACGCATGCCCTGTATTTGCTGTCCTGGCTTTCATAAAATTGCACAGATATAGAAACTAAGCCCCAGAGAAGGCAAGGGACTTTCCCAGGATCTCCCAGTGAGTTATGGAGAGCTGGAGTCAGAACCCGGGATCCCAGACTCCATGTTTGAGTTCGGGGCTGGGCCCTGGTCTCAGCTACCTTCCATCCCTGCAGGCACCACGGCCCTCTACCTGTTCCTGGGCATGCACCCGGACCTCAGCAGCAACTACCCCAGCTCAGAGACCTTTGAGGAGATCCAGTTTTTTAATGGCCACAACTATCACAAAGGCATCGACTGGTGAGTGACTCTTTCTGTCCAAAGCTGGATGGGAGCTTGCCGTCATGGAGTCTGCCCCAGAGGAGGTCTGCTCTGCTCACAGTAGGAAGCAGCTGGCCCTTGCTCACACACAGCTGAAGTTCCTGTAAACAGGGACAAAGCTCAGTGACCCTTGCACTCATGATGTTGGAGCCTTATCACAGGTGGGACACTTGATGAGGAAGCCCTTTGCCCCTTTTTGTCACCACCTGGGGTCAGAGACTGCTAGAAGTGGGAGCCAGCACCTCCCTTGCTTGCAGGGAAACCACCTGAGTCCCAGAGGAGCACAGGGACTTGCCCAAGGTCCCAAGAGTTGAGGACAGAGCAGGGGCTGAATTACAAGTGTTCTGACCCCGAGAGCTGGCTGAAGTTTGCTTGCCTGATTGTGGAGCAGGAGGTGTTCTTGTGAGCCCTTTGGAGGCGGCTTGCTGGCCTTTGGGGACTTGCCTAGGGAGGTGGTGGAAATTGCAGCTTCCCTCCAGAACCTGTCACCGGACGTTAAGGTGGCGCGGGGCGGGGGGGGGGGGGGGGGCTTCGTGGGGATAGTTTTATGCTCCAATTATTTCAATTTGCATCTTTCTCTACTATTTGCCTTTTCTTTCCCTATACGTGTATTACTCTTGTTTATTATTTTCATGTCAGTGGTTTACCCGGGTGGAGACATTATGGCCATTCTTCTGTTTATTTGTTTTCTTTCCATACTTTTTTCTTTCTCTTTTGTCAGCCTGTTGTCTGCCTACCCCTGGCTACCCACCTGTCTCTGTCTCTCATACGGGTACCCTCTCTTGTGTAAAACCCACTGTAGCCAGATGTGTCACTGGAAGTCACCTTCTCAGGTTTTAGGGAGGTAATATGGTGCGACACCATACATTTAACCATACTTCCGGCAGGGTCTGGGGCAGCACCCCATCAGCAAGTACCCGAGCAGCAAATACAATACGTCTATAGCAAAGTCTGTGAATATTTACACTAAGATTAGTAAGTCGGGTTTTGCTGCCAAATGGCTTTGCTAAAAACTTGAGGGGAAAATCTTCTATTTTCAGAGCTTTCTCAATTTAGGTGTTACAAACAATGGCCTGTGGGTATACAGATGCTATTTCATAAAGAAAATTCAGAAATACACTTGAAACTAATATAACACTGCATGTTGACTAACTAGAATTTAAAATGTAATAAATAAGAAAAAAATAAATAGAATTCAGAAATAGGAGAGAGCTAGCAATTCCTCAGCCCCATTCCCAAGATTTTGATTCTGTAGGTAGGTGTAGGGTGGGGTGAGGAATCTCAGAAGCCCCAAGGTGGTTCTGATAAAGGGGTTCCTGGGACCTCCCTGGAGTAACCCTGTCTCCCAGGATATAGTAGGGATCCTACACCCTCACCTAAGGTGGGCCTGTGGGCTTTGACTCCCAAAAGCCCCTGAAATTGTACCTCTATTTTGTATGAGTAGGTGCCTGTGAGAGGCTCTGGAGCATTCATTTAGCTTCTTGAGGTGTCCTCCATCCAGAGCTGGGCCCACAGGTTGGCATGGACATCCCTTTGGGTGGGATATGGGAGGTTCCTCTGGAAAGCCATCAGCTGACCCACGTGAGGCCTGGGAGGGGTGTGGCTGGCAGGTGGTGATACACTCCCCACCTCTTTGTCTCCTGGTCCATGGTGACATCCTAGAAAGTCCCATCCTAGGCCAGGAAAGAAACCCTGTACTCGGGAGGCAGGAGAGGGTGTCTCTCGGGTCCATGCTGTTTCTTCCCGGGTCGAAGGTGTCCCAGTTCCCCTCCTAGAGGCAGTGAGTTAAGGCCCTGTCACTTTAACTGGGAACATCTTATTTAGGATTCAAAGACACACCCCCCCATCCCATGCCTTATAACCCATATCACTTCCGTAAGTCTTCCTATCCTCCTGACTCCAAGGTCCTCCCTGAAAAGGAATGATTCAACAAAGGGAGACTGCCTGGTGGCCATCCGTCTGTCTCGAATCCCTGCCAGAAGCAGGTCCTTGGGATCAATGTGCCTGCTGGCTTTCTGAAGTTCTACCCCCAGCAACCCTCACCCTCTCATGCTGCATTCCTCAGGCCCCCTTCTCATGAGTCTTCCCTGTGAGCTCTTCTCTCTGGGCTTCCTGCAGGTACATGGAGTTCTTCCCTATCCCCTCCAACACCACCTCCGACTTTTACTTTGAGAAAAGCGCCAACTACTTTGATTCGGAAGTGGCGCCCCGGCGGGCAGCTGCTCTGTTACCCAAGGCCAAGGTCCTGACCATCCTCATCAACCCAGCGGACCGGGCCTATTCCTGGTACCAGGTGAGCCGCGGCTGGGGTGCAGCCCTGGGTAGGGGCATGGGGCTCTGTCCATCACTCAGCTACTCATAACGTCATTCGACAGATATTTACTAAGCACCTACTATGTGCCAGCCCTAAGCTAGCCTTCGGGAATGCGGTGGTGGGTAAGAATAGAGTCTCAGCTCCACAGGGCTTCTAGCTTAGTGGAGGAGACAGGCAGAAATCGACATTGCATCCCAGCCAACAATTACCTGCCACCCTGCTACCTTCACCATGGGTCCCGCCTCTGATTCTGACACCAACAAGAGGTGGAAGGTGGTTCCACCTGGATGAAAGGGAGATTTGGTGAACAGTGATCATACTAACTGGTCTTCTCACTGGACACTGGGTGGGGTGGGGATGGGGATTCAGAGAAGGATAAGATATAGGGCTCCGCATTCATAGTAGAGGATGCAAACACCTGATCAGGTAAAGAAGTTACCTGACTGTTGTCTATGGGAGAGAAGGTATGACTCCTAATCCCCATTCGACTATGTAAGAACTAGAACTTTCTTTAACTTCAATGACCTGACTTAATTTTTTCTGAGCACTAGGCTTACAGAACAGCCTAGACTCAGGCCTTTTGGGAGGTTTCCTCCTCTGCCTGCCGATCTTCCTGGGATTCTGATCCAGTGCCAGGGTATGGGGGGTAGCTCGTCCACTAGCTGGTCTAGGAAGACCTCCTCGGGTCAGGCCGCTTTCAGCAGCTCCCTGCCACCCTCTGAGCCTGTCACTTCCCCTCTGGGGCCTCACTGCCTCTGCAGTCCCGGCGGGGTTGCTGGGTACAGACCCTACTTGCTCTCTGGTCCTCACAGACTGTCCCTTCTCTCACTGCCCACCCTGAGCTGTGTGTGAGTGTGGAGGCTCAAGAGAGTGTGACCCCTGGTGGGCAGGTTCCTGGTCTCTGGATGCTGATGGCCCATGGCATTATTGTAGGTGGTTCAAACATGGCATTTCCCCCTTTCTGATTCTTTTCCTATCCTGTCTTAGTCTGCTCGAGGAGCTGTAACACAGTATTCATGGACTGGGGCTTAAACAACAGGAGTTTATTTCTTATAGTGCTGGAGGCTAGAAGTACAGGATCAAGATGCCAGCAGATTTGGTTCCTGATGAGATCACTCTTCCTGGCTTTTAAACAGTCACATTTTCACTGTGTCCTCACAAAGCAGAGAGTAAGAGAGAGCGAGCGAGAGCGGGAGCACCCACTCTCTCTGGTGTCACTTCTTATAAGGGCACTAACCTCATCATGGTGGCACCACCCTCCTGACCTCATCTACCCACAGTTACCTCCCCAAGGCCCCACCTCCAAATACCATGATATTGTGGGTTAGGACTTCAACATAGGAATTTTGGGGAGGGGACACAAACACTCAGTCCATAACACCTTCTGATTTCTATAAAGGACAAATCTCAGTTTAGTGTAAATGGCTCTTAAGTCCTTTCTAACATTGCTAAGCTCTGTTTTCAACAAAGAGAGTGCAAGCTTTGGGCTCAGGGCCTATAGCAGACATTGTATCTGGCTGGCATTTGAGAACATTGCTTTATTTTTATTGTACTTATGAATGATTACCTTCTGTATGTGACAACTAATTCAGGTCTTCTGCTTACGGAGGCAATAGTGAGTTGTATTTTGAAATAGTTTGATGTGAATAAGAAAGACGAGTCAATGTAAATCAAAGTGTGTGGACCTCGGCACATACAGGTGGCTTGTGGATATGGGAGACATCGGAGAGATGACAGGCAGATGACCAACCTTTGAAAACGCTGATCTAGTCCCACTCCTGTCTTGCAAAGATGGAAAAACTAGGGCTCTGAGAGGCCATGACTCCCCAAAGTCAAAGAGCAGTGGAGGCAGAGCCGGGACTTGAACCCAGGGCTGCTGGTCACAGCCAGGGTCTTCGGGCCACTTCATGGCTGCTGAAGAGAGCCTCTTCCTTTGTGCCCCCCATGGGACGCACTGACCCTCTCCCCTTGCCTGCAGCACCAGCGAGCCCACGATGACCCAGTGGCCCTGAAGTACACCTTCCACGAGGTGATCACAGCTGGGCCCGACGTGTCCTTGAAGCTGCGGGCCCTTCAGAACCGCTGCCTGGTCCCCGGCTGGTACGCCACCCACATTGAGCGCTGGCTCAGCGCCTTTCACGCCAACCAGGTAGCTGCCGGTCCCTGGCCCTTGAGAGGGCACTCACAGTTCTGGCTTGGGGCAGCTAGCAGAGAGCCTCGAATCTCTTTCGTCAGCCATGGGGCCCAAAAGGTCCTCATTGGCGAGCTAGACCTTTGGGGGCTTCGAAAGTTTCATTCTTGTTTATCCCAAGGCCGATGTGTGAAAATTCCCTAAGCCCTTGTCCTGTCGCCAGGCTCTGTGTCCCTAAGGGGATCCCAAAAGCCCTGGGGTAGGTTATCTTCCTGGGAGGGCTGTGGTGAAGTAGGGAGAGCCTGGTCAGAGAGGTAAGCAGGGCCAGATCACATGAGGCATTTAGGGAAACCCTTGGAGGGTTGAGGCAGGAGAGTGATGTTGGGCCAGAGGCTTAGAGAGAGGCAGAGAGGGATATGGTAGGGTTGTGCGGGGCAGGCAGGAGTGGAGCGACAGCTTCATCTCTAGGAGAGGGAAGCTGGTAGAGGGCAGGGAGTTGGACTGCAGAAGCCTGAGGCGCGGGGACACCTGCCGCTCGGAAGTGGAAGAGGAGGGGGAGACTATACCGTGAAGAGCGCCCAGTTTGTAACCATGGCTGGTGACCAGGAGACTGGGAACCTGTTTGCCCCTGGAGGAAACACAGGTTCAGATCATCCTTCTCTGTTTTCTCTTTCTTCCAGATTCTGGTCTTGGATGGCAAACTGCTACGAACAGAACCTGCCAAAGTGATGGACACGGTGCAGAAGTTCCTTGGGGTGACCAACACTATTGACTACCACAAAACCTTGGCGTGAGTGTTGCCTTGGCTTTTCAGCAGGGTGATTTTCTGAGCAGGCACCTGGACCAAAAAGCCAAAGGCTTGAATGATTATGGAAGAGACACAGATACATTATTAGAGTTAGAAAGTGTGCATATTCCTGATGGCTGTTTAGCAGAAAAGCTGATATTAATATGATTTGAATCATATTAATAAAGGTTATCAACTCAAGAAAAAAGGAGGTGGTGAATATGTCCTACTCTGGTCAGTCCCACCCCTGGGGTTTTCTTTTCAGTCTGTGCTGAACATTTTAGAACCTTTTATTAAAGTAAGTTAGACTAACATTAAGCAGCCCTAGTTCCCACAAAGGTTTCTTAGCATTAGATCATGATTTAAATGTAATTTCAGGAAAAGGAAACTTCAGATATTGCCGATGGCTTATAATCCCACTCACTCAGAACCTGGTACAAGTGCACTGAGAATGCCCTCCCAAGATGGGTAGAGGTCAGCCTGTGTGGCAGGCGCTCAGGGCTGGGGAGTGGTTGCGTGTTAACCATGTTACAGACGAGTAACTCACTCACCTGTATGGGGTGGGCGTGGGTCTCAAGAGAGGGAGGAATAAAGTCACCTTCCCTGGTTACCTACTTGGGAAAGTCATACAGCAAGAATGTTCCCTTCTCACTATCTTGGAGGTTGAAGGTGAAGAAGAGAAGCAGTCCTTTACCTTGAGGCAGACAGGGGCAGCACCTAAGGGGGTTGGGCTATTGGCATCCGAGATGCCTGGCTTAGGAGACCCATTACTTCTTTAGCTGTGTGATCTTGGACAAGTGTCTTAGTGCCTTCAAACTTCACTTTCCTCATCTGTAAATTGGGAATAAAGGTTTTGACTCCTAGACCTCCCGAGGGTCACTGTATTGCATGAAGCATACATGTGGAGCTCTTAGCTCAGCGCCTGGCACGTACTGATGCTCAAAGATCATCTTCATCATCATCATCTTCTTCTTCTTCCTTTATGCCTACCCTGTGACCCATTCAGAAATCCCTGTCTCCCACACCTGCCAAATGTGAATTCTGTTTTCCAGCTGTCCTTATGCTGAAGCAGCTCCTAATGGTTCCAGATCTGGGGTTGAATTCTGATGCCAGTGTGCCTCCCCTCCCCTTGGCAGCTTCAGATCTCATCTCCCTCCCCCACCAAAAACCTTTGAAGGCCCAGCATGACTTCAAATCCTGAAGGCAGTCTTGCCCTGTCATTCCTGAAGTTTACTCCAAAAGCCAAAACTTTCCAGTGATGGACATGCTTAAGCACAACTGCAGATACTGCATTTCTTGAAAAATAGACAATTTATAAAGACACACACCCAAAACCCCCACTAAGCTTTTTCTTCCCTATTGGGTTCTTGGGTAAAAAAAAATTGCTCAGCCCTGAGTAGGAGAGTGCTTAGGAAAGGTTTCCCCACGTCCTGAAGGACAGCACGTGATCCTGTTCTGGGTTGCTTGCTGGAGGGACTTGGGCCGCCCAGCCTGGACGAGAGCAACTCAGAGCACATGAGGTGCTTTCTGCTGGGGAGAAGAGGGCAGGCATGTTCAATGTAGCCCAGGGCCGGCAGAAGCAAACCCCAGCCCCACACATCTGTCTATCTGTGGGTTCCAGAGCGTGCTTAGGGGAGTGAGTTTCATGGCCTAGGCTCTGCCACTCCTGGGGTCTGTGACCATTGCCTTAAGGTGGGAAGGGGATGGGCTGGGCCAGCTCCCGTCCATAGGCTTTCCCCACCTCCACAGGTTTGATCCAAAGAAAGGATTTTGGTGCCAACTGCTCGAAGGAGGAAAAACCAAGTGTCTGGGCAAAAGCAAGGGCCGGAAATACCCAGAGATGGACCTGGATGTAAGTGGGCACACTGCCTGTGGCAGCTGGATCACTGTGGGGGTCCCTGACTGGCGGGGGTCCCCTCTCCCCTTTACCCTGCACTCAGCACCTTAACGGCCTTGGTCTTTCTTGGGTGGTGTTCTTACAAGGAGGAAGTCGAAGCTGGGACATGGTGGGTTAGAATAGATTTAGTCCAACGAGAATTTATTACCTTCTGCCTAGGGCTGAGCACTGTGGGCTTTGAGGATGGATGAGACATGTTCTTTGCCTTCAAGGGACTCCTAGTCTGGGAGGGAAATAAGTCACACACACCAGTAAGAATACGAGGCAGGGTGCGCTTTATGCAGCAAGAGAACTGCACACGAGTGCTAGGGGATTTCGGAACCAGAGATGCTACTGAAAGGGACCCCGAAGGGGAGGGGCTCTGGAGCTGGGCCTGCGAGGACCAGGCAGCATTTGGCCCGAGGCATGGATGGATAGGTGTTCTTGTGGCAGAGAACGGCATGTCCAAAGGACGAAGGGCAAAGGTCACACGCCGTGACTTTCAGTGTTCCTGATTTTAATTAATTCCTTCTTTTCTCCCGATCACAAGAATTTTGACCTTGTGTACTATGCTTTGGTGTCCTGCCATCTAGCTTTCTTTTGGAGGCTACCAAGGAAGATGGTGAATAAATGATAGGTGTGTGGGTTGACACTGACCGAGTGGTGGGTTTACAGAGGGGAGGGGTCCCTCTGGAATCAGCACATCCCTGAGATCTGAACTCTCCTTCCTGTTCCAGTCCCGCGCCTTCCTGAAGGACTATTATCGGGACCACAACATCGAGCTCTCCAAGCTGCTGTATAAGATGGGCCAGACACTGCCCACCTGGCTCCGGGAGGACCTCCAGAACACCAGGTAGCCACGGCCACCACAGCCAGACTGAACGTATGTGATGGCCTGGACGGCCTGCCGCATGCTGAGCCAGACTGACCTGCAGAGTGGGGAGCTGGGCCTGGGCTGGCCAGGCACTTGAGCAATATTCAGCTGAGGCCCAGGCAGGGCCAGGAGAAGAGCCCAGGCAGGTCCACAAGCGCCTCGGAGCATCCAGTGCTGGGTCTGTGGCCTCCAGGACCTCCCTAGCCACCAGAGGTCCATTCCGTTCACGGCCTTCCGTGGGGAGGCCACTCCCTGTTGGTGGAAGGCCACTTCCTGGTGAGAGGGAGTCCATGAGACTTCCTTTTCTGTCCCTCACTGTGTTCTACCGACCATGCCCTCCCTTCATCCCATCAGTCCCTGCGACGGCAGGGTCTCCCCTCAGTATTAGCTGCCATATTTTCCCTGTCCTCCAGACAATAGGGAGAAGAGCCCAGCGGGGCCTTTTGCCAAACAGGGGAGAGAGACTGGATGCTTCCCTCACTGTTTTGAGCCAGGCACTTCAGAGGGGTCAGCTGGGTACCCAGAGTCACTGGGCTGGATGTGGGGGTGGCCACCTCAAGAGAACTCTGAACCTCTACACACATTCTGGTTAATACCTTCACATCTCACTTTCCCTTTTGGGGAAAGAGTTGCTGATTCCTACAGTATCCACCCAGTCCTCAGGGCCTCCTTCAGGACCCTGGGGCACTGTCATGCCATTTGGACCCAGAGACCCAGGCTTCCCTCCCCCTGTTCCTCACCCTGGGATATGACATGTGGTATTTCCTGTGGTAAAAGACTGAGGCGGTTCAGGAGTCTGCCAGTATACATGTCCCAATGTACATATGTTGTCCCCACGCCCAGCCCCAACCTTGGCCCCTGGCAGACACTGGGCAGCGTGGATAAGACTGCCATCCACAGCTTTGCCCCAGCTGCCTGTGGCCAAGGGCTCCTAGAGACCCCATTAGCCACCCCCCCAAATACTAAGAAGCTAAAGTATTTTAATATTTTGTTTTTTTTCTTGGTGCCAGAGTTTATACCCTGGGTGCTGGGGTCGCACTGTGTTATATATATATATAATGTGTATATATATATATTATATTTTTTTTGGTTGGGTTTGTTTTTAATTCAGTCGTACAAAATGGTGGCAAGCCCCAGTGTCCTATCTCAGTGCTAGAGAATGAGGTGGAAGGGAGGGAAGGGCGTGTCTTCGTGTGTCCAGGCCTTGGGGAGACAGCGTGGAGGTGCCCCTCGGAGAGGTCTCTGTTCCCTCCCCAAATGTCACAGCTGCCCTGGGGCTACTGCAGCTGGACAGAGGTGGTGAGAGGTACAGGGAAGACCTACTGTCTCCAGGACACCTGGCTTCATGAAGCGCAGTGACCCTGGAGGAATTTTGGCCAAAGGAAACAGCAGGGCTGGGGTGGGAGGCCATGGGGCTGAAGGCCAGCCTGTCCCCTCCCCCCTCACATGGTGCTAGGTTGGGAGCTGCCCTGGGAGCTGGGCTGCCCGCCGGGACCCACAGAACTGTCTCCAGGCCCCCTGTAGACCACGGGATCTTGGGGCTGTTTTCTGGTTAGGGTCTGCTCCTACCCCCTTCTTTAACAATGTGAAGTGACTAAGGCTGGGCGCCTCTCCCCAGCCCCTCCCACTGCCAGCTCAGCTTCCAACCGAAATCCAGAAAACCCTTTCTGGAGAGCCTTGTCTTGTTCAGAAGACTCTAGCATCTTGGGACTGGAAGGGTCTTTCGATGGGTTTGGAAACAGGTCCAGAAAGGCGAGATGGCCTCCTTGGCTGACGTCTCAGAACTGGGTGCAAGCAGGGCCAAGAATTAAACCTGAGGCTCCTGATTCTGAGTCCAGTGCTCTTCTTCCAATGCCACACTGCCTCTGAGCCCATCCTGGGGACCCTCCTCTGTGCCAGCTTCCTGTCCCTCCCTTAGTCACACCGTGGTCATTCCAGGATAGGGGACAAACCACTCCTTGCCAGCCAGGGTGCCTTTGAGCCTTCTCCGTTCCTGGTCTGCACATGCGGTCCTGCCTTGCTGTCCCTGAGAGGTCCTCCCCTGGTCTGTGGGTGGGGGTGGGGGGGCAGGTCTGTCTGACCTCTGAACCTGACCCCTTTTCTCAAGTTCTTCACCGGCAGTGGAGAAGAAAGGCAGATACTCAGCGGGACAACTGCATGTGGGTTCACTGTCTTCCGAGAGAAGCCTTCCCATCATGCTTCTCATCAAAGCCTTTGAGCCTGGGAACCCAGTGTCAAGCCCGCAGGGGATGAGGAACAGAGTGTCTGGGGACAGGGTGGCATGCCTGCTTGTACGCTCGTGAAGACTTGCCAGTGCCGTGGGGCCAGACTCGCAGAAGGGGGCGGCGACTTCCATAGGGCAAACCCCAGGCCGCGTCTCCCATCTTGTGGCGAGGGGCTCGGGCTCCGTGGCGTGTGCAGACCTTTACAGCTCCCACTGCTGAGATCTACCCTCTGTGTCTGGATGCCTGCCCCCAACTCTGGGAGCTCAGAATGGCCGGTGGGCGGGCAGCTCCATTTCTCTCTGCCTCTGGCCTGAGGAAGGAGCAGGCAGGTTGGAGACCCCATGGGAGCTTGTGGGAGCAGAGGAAATAGTGGGAAATGTTGTCCAGGCCCTTCTGGAAGGCTGGGGACTTGACCTGCCACATGTTCTGAGTCTGTCTGACAACTACTACTTCTTCCCTCCCCACTGGTGAATCTTGCTCATGGACCCACTGTCAGGACCTGTAGATATTGGGGAGGGGGTCAGACAAATCCGTCTAGGGGCTCTCAGCTACTGAGCACACAGATCCTCCTCATGAGAGAGCAAACCAGAGGGCAGTGGGTACAGCATCTCTGCATCTTAAGTGTTCACTGATTCACTGTGTTTGGCCAGAGAGAGAGAGAGAGAAACAGTTTAAATCATGTAGTGGACGCCGCCATCCATTCTCTCATCCCTCCCATGAGCCTTTGTCTGGGGCAGGCGCAGGCGGGATGGTCACCTGCAGCTGCCTCAGCCGCTCGGGGTTCTAGAGCTGCCTGTATGTAGCTCAGGCGTCCGGCACCTGGAGGATGAGTCCGAAGTTTAAAGATGGGCCTCTTGTGGGCCTGTGAGGAGACGTAGCCAGCGTCTCTGGGGCCCAGCTGAGGGAGCAGCCGTCCGATCCCAATGGAGGACGACTCGGCTGACCCACAGACGTTGGCAGGCTCAGTAGGGAGCGGTCCCCACCGGTTTGTTAGTGAAAGAGCAAGTGAAAACACGTTGTACCAATTATTTTATGATGAACACCTACTACCTTCCATCTAGAGTTAAAATGAACATTTTGCCACATTTGATTTCTCACTCTCTCTGTATGTATATATTTTTTCCAAATTAGTTTAAAAGTAAGTTGCAAATATCGTGAGACTTGACCAAAATGCCTCCACATGCATCCCCTAAGAGTTAAGACATTGTCCTACGTATTGGCCTATATCACACTCAAGACAACAATGATTTCCTAAAAACATCTGCTATTCAATCTATGTTCACTTTTCCCCCAGATAACTTTTACACCTGGTTTTGGAATCAGGATCCAGTCAAGGTGCATACATGACATCTTATAACTGCAGTTTTTGTTCAGTCTCTTAAGTGCTGTAAAGTCCTCTCTCTGCTCGCTTTGGTTTTTTAAATGATGCTATTTCTGAGGAGAGCAGGCCTCCTGTGCTGTTGAAGTCCCACATTCTGGATCTGTGTGATCATTTCTTCATGGTGTCATGGAATATGTTCCTCTAGCCCCCGTCTTGTGAAGGGTGATTTAGGCTGTATGGATTTCTGCCTTTTGTGCTGACTTGACAACTTCACTCCAGCCTGAGATGCCTCTCTACCATCCCCTGTACCAAGTGCCAAACCAGCAGAAGGGCTAGGTGGCGCTCCAGGAGCTCAGGGAAGGGCAAGGGAGGCGGCCATTGCAGCTGGGCCTGGCAGTGCTGGGCCTGCTGGGAAGGAGGTGCCTCTGGTTCAGAAGAGCCTGTGCTGCCCCCTCTGATCCTGGCAATGGACCACAGGGCACCGAATAACATCTCTCTCTCTCTCTCTTTCTCTCTCTCTCTCTTCCTCTCTCTCCCTCTCTCTCTGTTTTGTGGCCTCCTGGTTTTTACTTCCTGGAGGCCCGTGGTCTGTGTGCACTGGAACAGAGCCGGGCCCCTGGGATGCACCAGGGAAGGGCCTAACTGGGGAACTGCCCCCCCCCCCCCGCCCCCAGCTGTGGTGTAAGGAGAAGAGCCCAGGGCTGGAGGCAGGAGATGTGAAATTTCGTCCCAACTGGGTACGTTTAGTAGCTAACGTCACGGTTTCCCCCCAGGGCCTCAACTTCCCCATTTATAGCATGAGCAGATGGGGCAGTGGCAGGGGTTTTCAAATGTCAAAGAAGAAAGTGGGTCTGCTCTAGTTGAAGTGAGCAGTTGGAGGGCCCAGACCCCTGCCCTCAGGGCAGTGCTGGGTGCCTGGGTTGCAACCTTGGGCCGGCTGCCCCCCCAGGCCTTGCCCTTGCCAGTTCGGACAGCCAGAGATTTTGGGGGGGGGCATGGGCTTTGTGAGGGGTCAATGTCAGGGGCCTGGGGAGACTCTGGCTGTGTTTTATCCTAATAAGTTCATCCCTCTCTCTCTCCTTCCTCTCTCTGGCTCTTGAGGAGAATGAAGGAGAGGGTTTTCTATGACTGTGCTAGCTTTTACTATCAGCAAGAGGGCTCCTTTTGTAATTTGTGCATGAAATTCATGTCATTTCCTGGGGAGAGGAGAGGGCTGACTGGAGAGGGTGGGGGGCACGCTAGGGGAGCAGACAGGTTTCCTTCCCTTGTGGGGGTGGGGAGAGGGGGGAGAGGGGGTGCTACCCAGCTCACCTGATCAGGGCTCTCGAACCAGCCGTTTTGGGTTGTGTTAAAAGTGGGAACCTTCCTCCATTAATGTACAATCTCGAACTAACTGCTAATAAAGTGGGATTCTATTTGTATGCACTGGTCATGTCTGTCTGTCTCTGAACTTTAAGAAAGGCCTGCAGGGGCGGGTGGGCATAGGGAGGTTCTCACCACAGCCAGTGTGGCCACCCCTGTGTATGGTGGAGATAAGTCATCTCACTCTTGGATCCTCAGTTTCCCTCGTCTTTGAGGGGTATGGAGGAAGTTGGACTCAGTGGCCGTTCCCAGAGAATTTGCTTAAAATGCAGATCCCCAGGCTGTGCGTCCAGAGAGTCATCTCTGGCAGGTGTGAGGTTGGGCCCAGCCATCTGCACTTTAACCCCTTCACGCTGAGACACCGCACTTTGGGAAACCTGGGCTTTGATTGAGGAGTCCTGCGGATTCTCATTAATTCAGAGAGTCCCACTATCCGAGGAACCAAAACTTTGGTTAAAATACATGTTTCTCTAGCCCTCCCAGCCTGATTGAGGGCTGACCTTGAGATTTGCCTGGGAGGGGCAGAGCAGAGAGGCCCAGTCCACTGTCTGCAACACAGGCCTCTGGACCTGCACCCTCAGGACCCCCTGCGAAGCTTTAAAACAATGTGCATCCCTGGGGTCTCTGAAATGCACTCTTTCAGAACCTCTGGGAGTGGGACCCCGCAAAGTGCATTTTAACAAACTCCCTGATACACAGGAAGATTTGGGAGCACTGAACCAGGCCACAGAGTGCGGGCAGAGAAGGTCCAGAGGAACGTGGACAGCTGCTGAGGGGCATGTGAGGACACAGCTGGGAACACCAACACGCAAGCCCCAATGCATGGGGGCAGCGCTTGCAGAGACCTTTACGGTTTGTCAGCTGGGAGCTTGGGACGGGTCATGTGGCGTCACCAACACTACATGGCTGGAGGCTGCAGTAATGGGAGCAGCTCCGGAAGTTGTGATACAGAAGGGTTCCTGTGCCAGTTAGGGGGTCCGGCCACATTAGAGATTTTTGAGTTTTAAAATAGCCGGTATTTGTTTTTAAAAGAGAAAAATTGAAAACCAGGTGAAGGTAGGGGTACTCTGGTTGGAGTGGGGTCAGGGTCTGGACTCTGACCAACTAATTCCTCCTCTCTGTCCCCCATATTATCTTGGAATCCTAAAACTCCTTGAAACACAGTGT